TGGCACTTCGTTTCTGGGTCGTACTCAAATGTCCACGTTTCATCACAGGTAATAACACAATATAAATAATGAGGTTCAATTTCCACACGTCCCTTCAATTCACCCACGATCAACATTCGATTGGCCTTTTGCTCGTCCGTCAACAATTTGGGGACCAGCTTGGTGCACACCTTTCGCATGTTCAATTTGTCCATAACAATGCAATGCACAACGGTTTTTGGAATGTTCAGAGTGTCGGCTAACAACCGGACAGTCATTCGACGGTCAGTATTCAACAAATCATGCACACAAGTCACATTTTCATCGGTTTGGCTTGTTGATGGCCGTCCAGAGCGGGGGTCATCTTCCACTCCTTCCTGGCCCACCTTAAACTTCTTCACCCACCTTATAACTTGCACATATGATAGAGCAGACTCCCCCAAGGCTTGCTTAAGCAGTTCGTTTGTTTCGGCAGCTTTTTTGTTGAGCTTTGTGCAGAACTTGACTGCCCAACGTTGTTCGAAAGTATCCGCCATTGCGCACCGTGACGTGGTCACAAAACACAGGTGCACTAAATCAGCGATACTGACGCCTCCGATGCTCGAGCAGACTGACCTTGGGCACGCTGTGAAGCTAAAGGCCTTCCCCCCTAATCCAACCGGTTCCAGTACGCTCCGATCAGTAGGAGCGCGGGAAAGAAATATATTTCATGACTTTTGGGACACACCTTGTATGACATCATTCATTAACACTATAATACTTCTCCAAGTCATGAAAACAATGAGTAATCAAGTATCTTCTTAAAGAAATCTTAAATTGCTTGTGTATCCCAACAGTCCTTTATTTCAAGAGGCAGATAATCAGGCGAATGACCTGAAAAATGGCACTTGAACGGTGGGAAACAAAGATAGGTAATGCTGAAGTCACACCTCAGGGTATATGGCTCACTGAGAAATCCCTCTTAAAGAGGGATGGACCAAGGGCACCAACTGCCATTCATGGTGCTTATGGCCTTAAATTTCATCCTTTCGAAAAAGCCAACAAAATTGCTGTTTGGATTTTCAGTTCAAGTCGCATGACCTCTGCCATAAAGACCATGAACAGCGGGTGGAGACTACAGTTCAAGCTCAACTCGAAACCGCAGACACGCCCCACATGGACAGGACAGTAACTTTCATCTAATAAGAAATATCTGTCGACACCAAGACAGACTGACTGACTGACTGACTGACTGACTGACTGACCGTCAGTTGCAATATAACTTTGATTTTGACTTTGACTTTCATATGCCCTGGGATTAAGAATTGTTTGGTTGACTAAAGGGAAAGGAGCTGTCTGTTTGTGTGACCAGAGGAGTAGGAGTTGTCTGTCGGACAGTGGGTGGTTCCTGCAGTATGGTGTAATGCTAGAGTGAAAAGACAGTGGTCATACTGAATGTAGTATACAGAGGAACAAGTTCCCTTTTCTCTGTACCTCACCTTGCCAAAAGTTGATGTGAGGAAATATGAAAGAGAGCATTTCATGACTGCATAAAAACATTATCTGCAACACCTACAGCAACTATCTATGTGTACTGAACAGTATGCAATATATTGCTACTTCAAAGATGTCTGATAACCTTAACCAACTACATAAGTATGCCTCCAATATGCTTTCTACCACTACACATTGTAAAATGTGGTTACGGTGGCAACAAATAGCTGTGGACCACTTTGTACTGGGACTAAACAGTAGTAACCATATGCAAGTAATAAAACCTTATACTGGGCCCTTCTGTAGTTAATGCATATACCAATACTTTATACTTGGACATGCTGTAGTTTTCGCAAGCATATAACGGAACTTTAAAACTGGGCCATACTGTGGTTAATGTATGTACACGGTGAAACCTTATACTGAGCCTTACAATAGTTACCATAGACATACGCGGTAAGTCATTAAGTTCGTGGACTGTGGTTTTATCGCATCACATTACAAGGTATTTACACACACTTACACACCCACATTGTCCCTCGAAGTAGTTGGCGTTGGCCGCTATGCAAGTCAGCCAACGTTGATATGGCTACCGAAAACATTGCTGTAACGTATTGTCAGGAAATTCCTGTACGGCGTCTCTTTTGGCGTTGATGACCTCCTCGGATGACTGAAATCTACAACCACGTAGCTTTGCTTTCAAGCGGTGAAAGAGAAAAAAATCGCATGGTGCGAGATCAGGTGAGTACTGAGGGTGTGGCAAAACGGTGACCTGTTGCCTTGCCAGTTCCTCTTGGACAAGAACAGAGCGATGTGCAGGGGCGTTGTCATGTAGCAATAGCCAATTCTTTCTATGCCAAACGTTTTGCTAGGGGATTTGTCTAGTTTTGGGCAGAACTTGATGTTTGCCCGTTGTTCAAACTGCCATATTTTCAATTTCCGCCACATGCATTTAACACTTTGTGGACTGGGCACCCTTTAAAAGGTTTTTCGCTTTTAAACATGGACCGTTAGCGTGTTAACAGGTTTTTAGAACACGATAAGTTGCAACACACTATACATTGCTCTGGCGCCACCTACATTGCATGCAACCGCCTGCAGATGCGTGATAAGACTGTGGAATGTTTAGTTAGCAGTCAGTAACTTGACCTCGCTGTTTACTTAACCGACTATAAAGGAAAATGCTTTGCCTTCTTCAAGCTGTGTGTATCAGCCAGTAGCTTGTGGGGAGAATGGATCAAGGACAAATTCTCCTCCGATGCCCTAGCTGACCTGCCTTGTGAGATGCGTAGTAATGGATTAATTGTCATTCAGACAGCGACAGTGACGGGGGACAACAAAGAATTGTGGCCACAGACAGTAAAAGTGACAGTAGCTCCAACGATAATGCGGGTAATAACATTGCGCATAGTAACATTGTGGGGACAGCAAAAAATCTAAACCCTGATTCAAAATTTAAATACAAAGCATTTCTGATGAATGTGACAAAGGCCTGGGCTACAGTCCAGATGGTGGCGGCAGAACCAGGGTCACACAAAGACTTAGCACGACCGGGCCCATCAACTCCCACCCCACGAAGGCCTCATGTGGACCCCCCAGGGCAACTCTTGAGTGATATGCAGAAAAATACCCTCGTGAAAATTGTGAAGAGTGAACATTCCAAGGGGAAGAATACTTCTAGGCAATGCCGTGTTTGCACAGTTCACAAAAAAAGGAGTATGTCTACATTTGCAAGTTCTGTGTAATGCCACTTCACAAAGGGGAATGTTTCCAGAAATATCACACTCTCAAGCACTTCTAGCAGCATTGGTAAGTGTTCTCCAAAAATTTTAATTCATAAAATTAATTAGGAGATTTTATATTAATTTTTAAAGTGAACAGTACACAAGTTAGGGTAGTATGTTTAAAAATGCTGGTCCGCGAAGTGTTAACTGCAGTTCACAATAGAGGCAGTAATTCTGCTTACACTATTTGCACACAACTGCCTCTAGCTGTGATGTGAAATGCACTGACAGGGCATCATATCCTGCCTCAACCTATCCGCTGTAGTGCACTGCAACAATGCTTTGTGGCCAGTCCGCGAACTTATTTACTATAGTAGTAAAATGAAACTTTACACTGAACCATGCTGTAGTAATCATATGTATACAATGAAGCTTCACAGTGGGCCATACTGCAGCAGTCACATACATATTGTAACATTATGAAACTGAAAGTTGAAATAATCAAATTAACTCCATGATGCTTCTTTAAACTTTAGTTTCAGTCTTAGGCATTAAGTCTTAGAAAGTTACTCTTACCTTGTTAACACACATGAGTTACAAATTACTGCATATACAGTCATCCAGAAAATCTGTTTTAGATTCTGACTCATTATATATGAGACGAACTCCGTCTTAAGTGCAACAATTTAATTGTAGTTTTTTCTTCTTCCCTTCCTTCACACTACATGTTTCGGCCTTAAATGGCCATCGTCAGGTGTGTATTCTTACGTAGCTGCTACACTGCCCATAGTTTAAAATTTAAAATCACTTAAGACGGAGTTTGTCTCATATACATTGTGTGAGTGTAACAGGATGCTTAAATATAATATTGTCTGACTGTCATATCGGGTATGACTAACTGTATGCGATATGTATATACCACAAGCACTGCACTGCATTTTAAAATTCTTGTATCAAACATCTGCCAGTTTTGTAAACATTCAACTAATATTACAAAAGTACTTTGGCATTAATTAAAATAGCAATCACATATGGTCTTTAAATACTTTGTTGGTTCAAGTTCATTAAGAGCTAACCACTGCTGACTGCTAGGGTTGAAACTGTTAGGTAATTAGACCCCAGAAACTTTTAACTGTTAACACATCAACTACACATTCATCACCTCCAACAAACATGAGTTAGAATTCAAGCAAAATGTTAAGAGTGAAAACCTGTTCAAACATTACCAGATATCTCCCAAGACATTCAAACAGAAGAGAAAATTCTGAGAAATCAGATATTGGTTTCCCTTAGTGGGTAGAGAACCTGGATATTTTCACTGCTGTTAAATTCTAAGAATTGTGATGTTTTCCAGCTCTGATGATGTAGCACATCATACAAGGGCACCTGAGGTTTTAGGTAAAGGCATAAGACATATGTAGTGTTTCTGACTTTCTTTCACTTGCTGGATATTGGAGGACACTGTGGTGCAACAGTGTGCAAAGCAAACATAGCAATAAAGAAAATTTCCTACTCTGTTTCCAGGTCACATATAAAGTCCTCACAGACAGATGATGTGATAGTATGCTGTCTGGCAAGGGCACACCTAAGGAGGGTAGTGATAAACAAATATGGAGTAATAGTGGAATGATAATTAGCAAGGGAAAATGAAAGAAACTCGAAGAGAAACATGTTCCAGTGCCACTTCATCCAACACAAATTGCACATAGTCACACAGAACTAAACCTGAGACCCTTGTGTCTGACCACATGAGATGACAAATCCTGACGAAAAAATAAAACGGAGGAATCCTACGATACAAAAAATTATCTGAAGAAACTGTACCTCATGTTCGTTGTGTCTCGTTCTCAATTGTGACTTCACAGGGAACAGTTCATACATGTATGGGGTCCTCCTCTTCTCCTTTTCCTCCTCTTCTAAAATTTGACTTAAAGCTTCTCTTATTTGTGGCGCCAACAGTGGTTCTTGTATAGAACTGTATAATAAGTCCAGTGGCACTTCTTGAAGATTTATTTTTGAAACCAATGGTTTCAAATAATGAAATCGCTGTGAACAGTCATGTTCACACCACTGCACTACTGCCTAAAACAAAAGACAAGACAATATTATATTTAAGCATCCTGTTGCACTACATACGATAAATGATATAATGATACAAATTCGGTCCCAAGTGCAAACAATATATTATGTGTCCTTGATTTTGCTCCTCTACACTACATGTTTCGGCCTCAGACGGCCATCATCAGGTGTATAACACTCACGTTGCTGTCACACTGCACCCAGCTCAAAATTTAACATTTAAAACACTTTCCTTGTTATTATCAACATCTACTTCGTTGATATCTGTCCGGTTTGTAGATTATTTTACACACGCTAATTTTGTCATTCCTGTAGTAGCACTATAAAATTTTTTTAGTTTTAATTTTAAAATCTTTTAAAATTTTCCTCAAAATTTTAAATTTTAAAATTGTTAGGGTTACTCGCCCTATGTCTAAAGTGCTGCAGCGGCTAGTTCTTGTTTCCACACTGTATAGGTGTTATCTGTAATATATAAATATATTCGTATTATTACCTTGTGTAGTACATAATATTTTCTTATGTGTTTATATTGTTATTTGTACTTACCCTGTGTAGTCTTCCTGTGTGCGTGCCGCTGTTATTCTTTACTACGTGTGTTGTCAGATGTACTGTGTGCTGAGTTTTATGTTGGTGAGTGTAGGGGGGGATGGGTAGTGGGGAGAGAGAGGTACCGTTAGTCTGTGTAGATTTCGTGTATCGTTTGAAATATGGGATTGTGTGTTTCTATGTGTGTATCATTCTAAGAAAACACAAATACAGGCCTAAACATTACGCATAAAAAATGAAATAAAATTTCTATATAAAAAGAAGCAACAATTAAACACACAACTCTATCACATTCACTTACACAATGCGAACACATGGCAACGAACATGGAATAACATCGAACAATCAATAGAAGAAAAGTTACAAGAAGATACAGAAAAAACATATCTAAAACAACAACAAAAAATAAACAATATGAAGAAAACACAAAATATAGATATAACAAGCAAAAACATACAATACACGAGAGTAGAGAATCAAACAAATATACAATTTACACACGAAGAAACCTAGTTACTAAGTAAAGGCCTTAAATATAATCTACATCACAAGAATAAAAAATGGATTGAGACCTTACCCTAGAAGCTGAAACAGCAGTAAATAACCTAGAAATAACAGAACAAAGTTATTACAGACATCTAATTGCGAAGAAACTAAAATATATACACAAGAATAACGAAAGGAATAAAACCAATAAAGATAAGAAAGATAAAAGTGAATGGAAACAAATAATGAATATAAAAAATAAAATTGAAGAGAATAAACTTATTATAACGAAAGCAGATAAAGGAAAAACACTAGTAATACTAACACAAGAAGAATATAAACAGAAAATAAATCTCTTCATACACAATAACCAATTCATAAAAATTGACAAAAATCCGACCCAACAATATCAAAGGGCAGTAAAACAAACACTGAAACAGTGTAATAACATCATACAAGACAAATGGAAATTTACAAATATGAACCCCAAGGCCCCAAACCTACACGCCT